GCCCGGCCGGCCGGCGCGGCTCGCAGAGCGCGGGTGGCGAAGCGGGCAGAGAATAAGCGAAAGAGCCGCGCATGGTACCTGGCAGCCGGCATTCTTGAAGTGTGTGCTTCCAGCTCCCGGCGCCGGTTGACTGCACAGTGCTTTTTGAAATGCCAGTTCCGGGTGAGGGGGGCGGTGGAGGAGGGGTTCGAGGCCGCGGGAAGCTTTCTCAAGACTGGAGAGAGGTGAGAGGCGGTGGAATTCCGTCTGGTGGGGACCTGCCGCCCCACTGTCCGCCGCCACAGTGTCTGGGGAAGGCAACGCACACGTCGGGGACTGTGCGTAGTCAGCTGGGACCCTCTGGGCCTTACATAGGCCTCTGCGCAGATGCCCAGCCTCCCGTCCGCCAGGACCCCGGGGGTATGGAAGAGAGGGTGATGGGGCAGCGCAAATAGCCCCCAGACTGAGTCTCCCCACTTTCTTTCAGGTGGAGCCTTGGAGTCTAATTTTTAAAAAAAATTTTATATTTTAGTATCGGGAATCAAACTCAGGACCTTGGGCTTGCCAGGCAGGCGCTTGTGCCACTGAGCTGCACCCCGGCCCTTGCAGTCTAATTTAAAGAAAACACTAATATACATCTGTTAGTGTCCTGACACAGATGTCATGAGCTACGTTCCTATCTTCTCTTCCTTGGCCTCACGCGCCCCAATCGTGTCTTACATCCTCACTGCGGCTGCAGCTGAGGGGCTTCTCTGCCCTAGCTGCCGGTCCCTTGCACCGGCCAGGGGATTCCTGGCAGGACAGACAGATTGCAGGAGCAGGTGCTCACCAGAGAACGCGGCTCCGGGAGGGGTGGAGGGCAGAAGCACCCTGTACGGGGAAGGGGTTTGGCCCCAGGCCTCTGTAATCCCCATTTTGTGGGAGCCCAGGATTAGAAGGGAAGAAAGAGATGCCCTGACAACTGGGGAGATGCTGCAGGTGCTGGAGGGGGCTGGCGCTCCTGCTCTGCTTTCTCTTCCCCTTTTATTGCTCTCTCCAAATCTGACAGACCCTAAGGATCTGTGAGATTCAAGGAGTCTGGAGGGGCCGGTGTCCTGGGGGGATGAAAGGACAGGGATGTAATGGGTTTACCCAGGCACTGATCCCAGAGAAGCCCGCAGAGATTAAGATTTGCTCCCTGGGCCTGGAACCTCCCCTCTACCCCCTGACCACATCAAAGGGCTCGGCCATGGGGGGCACCTAATCCTATCAATGGAATCAGAGCAGGACAAGAAAGGAAATTGTGCAAACTTGGGGCAGCCACAGGACTCAGTGTGCTAGAGAAAGACAGATCCTAAGGCCCGGGGCTCCTCTTTCTCCTACATTCCTAGAAAATTCCCTGGCTAGTCCGCAAGCAGCCGGGACCTGTCCTTTGCTTCCTGAGATGGCTGCTATGGGAAGGTCGAGCACAGAAGCACAGTGGGGCTGGGCCTGCCTCCGGGGCCGAAAGGGACCCAGAGAGGGTTGAGACTTGCCCAAGGTCACACAGCCTTGCAAAGTAAAGACAAGTATTTGGTAAATAATGATACCAGTGGTATTCTGGTGTCATGGTTTCTTTTCTCTCCTTGCTGAGACAAAATATGCAACGCCCAAAATGAGGAAAGGAAAGGTTTATTTAGCTTACAGTTTGTGAAGGTTTCAGTCCATACTTGGCTGGTTCTAAGGCAGAGTGGCACATGGCAGAGGGCAACCATTCATGGCAGCGGAAGATATCAAAAGCAACGAGAGCGGAAATGTAGGAGTGGCAGAGAGCAAGGCTCCTTCCCTCCCTTATATTGTACGCAAACTACCCGCCCCAGGGCGGGTGTAGGACTCGCACCCATAATCCCAGCATTGAACTATGGATCAACCAAAAATCCGGAAGCCTGCCTATGACTGCATCAGGATTTGGGGGGACACGCAGACACAAACCATAACATCTGGCATGGCAAACATAGTGGTGGTGATATGCACATTCCTAAACATACAAAAACTCTACCTGTGTTCTTCTTTAGAAACATTGCCTTTGCCAGCATAGTGGCTCACGGACTCTTCTTCATGCCCCGTGGTAGAGGTGTGTGTGTGCGTGTGTGTGCGTGTGTGTGCGTGTGTGTGTGTGTGTGTGTGTGTGTGTGTGTGGTATGCAGATGATGTGTATCATACCTACATATATAAATTATGAGATAATTCTTACGCACTCAAATATATATTCTATGTCATCCCGTTCCATTTAAAAATGCTGCTTGCAAACTGCTTAAATGATTTCACCCAACAAGCTCGCCTTGTGCAGGTTGAGGGCTGTTGCCCAAGAGCAGTGCCTGATGGTGACGTGATGATGCTGACAGCTCTCTCTGAGAAAATTCTAGGAGCCAAGGCCCTGGACTGCGAGCTTCCCCTCACCATCTCACCGGGACTCGAGCACACAGCTCTTATAATGGTCTGCATTTTACCAGTGAAGTGACTGATCAGCAAGAACTGACCTGAGACCAGCCCCTCTGCACCCAGCTCCCCCAGGGCTAGTGTGCTGCCCACCACCCTGCCCCGAGTGAAGTCTCACAGCAAAAAGCGCAGTTGCCAAGGCACTTACACCGCGTTTGCCCTTTTCGTATCAGTCTGCTCTCTGAGCCCGCCCCCAGCTTCTGCTCTTTTTGCCTCCAGACATGACCCCCAGCGCACACACAGGACCCGGGCTCCTCGGCAGGCTGTCCTCCCAGACACGGAAGTGGGCTGAGGCTGTGTGTGGTATCACGTGGAGGGAAATCTTAGTGTGCTGTGCACGCCCGTCTCAGTGGCTGGGAGCTAGCAAGCTGGGACAGAAATCCCAGCCCTGGAAGCTCTTGCCTTATCTTCTGGTTGCCCTCATTCTGAGTTTCCCTCGGCCCTCCCTGGCCTCCCTTTTCTATTTGTTTTTGTCTTTTTTTTTTTTTTTTTTTCAGAAACGGTCTTGCTATGAAGTTCAGGCTGGCCGTTTTTTTTTTGTACCAAGAATCAAACCCATGACCTCATGCTTGCGAGGCAGGTGCTGTGCCACTGAGCTATATCCCTGGCCCAAAGATGGCCTTGAGCTCAGGCTGGTCTGAAGCTCAGGCTACTCTAGAACTTGCAAGGATCGTCCTGCCTCAGCCTCCCAAATGCTGAGATTACAATTGTGTGCTACCATGTCCAGCTTTGCGTCCCTATTTTAAATTGCAATCCTTGGCCCACCACTTCTTTTCTGCTAGCCCCTCCTTTTTTTCACTTCCATGGCCCTTGTCCCCTCTCATATGCCACATAGTTTACTCATTTTTTTTTGTTATTGCTATATTTTTGTTTTTGTTTGTCTTTTTGAGACAGGGTCTTGCTATGCAGTTCAGGCTGGCCTTGAGCTCACTTTGTAGCCCAGGCTGGCCTCAAACTCACAACTATCCTCCTGCCTCAGCCTCCCGAGTGCTGGGATTACAGGTGTGTGCCACCACGCCGGGCAGTATTATATTGTTTTTATAGGAACCAGCCCTCTCAGTAGCTATAGGAATTTGCATTTCCATAGTACTTGTACTGTGACAGAAGTAGCCTATAACTCATTTTTTTGGTGAATAGTCTATATCTCTGCTGCTGATTTTTGCCTTCCCCTACAACGTAAGTCCACAGGCACGGGGGCTTTTGTGCCTGACACATAGAGCACAATCAGTAGATATCTGCTGAGTGTGTTTCAGTGCATATCCTCCCCTGAGAACATACCAGAACATACCAGTTTCCTCTCAGAGGATAACCGCATTCCCCACAGGCCAGAGGGCAGACCTTCACCGTGGCCTCCAGTGCCTGCACCCAGCCTGTTGCCACTGTCCGTCGGTGAGGGACACCTGACATAACTCTAGCGGGCTCCAAGATGTCATGAAGCAGTGCAGGAATGACAGCCTCCATGTTCTGGATGCGGATCCTAGGCTCCAGGGGGTAAAATGACTCACCTGGGTGACTCTGTACTGATGCCCCTCCGCTCAGCTTGCGTTCCTGGACAGTGCAGTCCACCAGATGCCACTTCTGTGGTGGCATCAATAAAACTGTGCTGGCTTCTTTTTAGCTTTTTGCCATCCGCCTGAAAGCTTTGGCAGGAGACACAGGCCTCTCTCTTGAGAGCTGAAGTTGTTTGTATGTTGCCTGTGGTGTTCATAGGGATCATTTTCTCTGCATGTTTTGCCCATATGGCAATTTATGTGGACTTTTATTCTCTCCACCCATATAGGCTGGACAGAGAAAGTCTCAGAGCCTGGGGGCAAAACAAGATTGGAATGAACGCTTTGTTGCAGAAAGACCGTCCTGGGATTAGCAGTTTTGCCGGCATTCGGGACCTGCTCTAGTCCCTCATTTCCTGTGCAATCTCTTGCCTCTGTGACTTCTCCCGGCTTGATTGTCCCACAACTGCAAGAAGAGAAGTGGTGATTGACTGATCGATCAGTTGATTTTGCTGACTTCATTCATTCAACCAATATGTGCAAAGAGCCCCTTTGTCCACCAGGTCCCTGGAGAAGACACGATCTTTGCCCTCAGGAAACAGCAGAGAGATGGCTTCTCCACCCAGGAATCAGTTCTGTGCGGGTGTGTGGCATCGTGGCTCAGCAACGTCATGGCTGTGCTTCAGACTGGCTTTGAGTCTCCTGGACAACGGGCCAGAGGGTGTGCAGCGCCCGGAGGAGGAGGGTGGGCAGTCCTGGGAAGTGAGTGACGCGGTGTCAGGCTGATCCGGGTGTGGCCTTTTCCCTGAACGGTCCCTGAAAGGCTTGGCCAGAGCCCTCTGAGTCTTATCTTTGTCCTTGCCTCCTGTCTTACTTTCCCATCAGTGAGACATGATACCTGACACCCACAGCTAAAAGGAGGAGAGGTTTACTTCCGCTCTCAGTTTGTAGAAGTTTCAGTCTACAGTCAGCTGGCTCCACGGCAGGGCAGCAGGGCGGAGGGGCAGCTGTTCATGGCACTGCGGAGGAGAAGGAGCTCACGGCTTGGCAGTGGGAGGCAGGGAGAGATCAAGGGAGGAGGAAGAGCGATAGAGCCTCCCAGTCCCCGCCCCCAGTGACCACCTCCCGATACCACACTTAGCTATAAACTCATTCGTGGAAGAGATGTCACACTCCCGTGACCCAGTCACCTCCCAGAGCCTGTGAGCGTATGAGGCTTCGGGGGGTGGGGGGAACATCCAGATATAAACCGTAACACTTCCTATGGCCAAACTGATTCTTCTCTTTGCATTTCCTCTGTGTGCGTGCATGGTGGTGGCTGAGATGCTGCCCCTCCAAGAAAGGGTTTGTCCCACCCGTGAGGAGTGCATGAACACACTGTCCTCTGCTACCAGAGTCACCTGGCCTATGGCGCTGGGGACAACCCCCGTCCCCGGAGTGATGGGAGGGGTCCAGCCTCTGCTCTGACCTGCTCCCACCCACCCGAAGTGGAGCACAGTTCTGCATAGCAATCTGCCTGAGGCTGGGCCACCTGGGGAGTCCAACCTTTGGCAGTGTGTCTGTGTCCCTCCCTTGCCCCCAAAGCCTGAACACTGCTCAGGTTGCGTGGCTTGGGGCACTACCCACATTTCTCATGGAGCAGGGGTGAATGTTCCACAGGTGATATGCCTGGCGGCCCACAGGCTGGTACACACACGGCTGTCTCAGGGTAACACTGGTGATGACTTTTCTGGGAAGAGCTTAGTCTGTGTGATGTCCCTTCTCTTTGCCTGTTTGCTGTGACCTGAGGGGGTTGGCTGGTAGCTTCCACTGCTATCATCCCTGAGTTCAAGGGGTAAGCTGTTGTCCCCGAGGATGAGGTTGGGCCTTTAGGCTTTGTTAACCAAACCTACCCACGGACGGAGGCTGAGGCAGGAGGATCGTTGGGAGTTCAAGACCAGCCTAGGCTACAAAGTGAGCTCAAGGCCAGCCTGAAATGCCTAGTGAGATCCTGTCTCAAAAAGACAAAAAATAAAAAAATAAAGCTTAAAAGATATATCAATTTTAATATGAACAAAATTAAACTATAAGGTATAAAAATACAAAGAAGTTCACCTAGCTAGTAAAATGCAGGGAAGGGTCACTACAGAAGCAGAGGGTACAGTCCTCTTGGTTATGGGGGCGGTGACTGGAAGGGAAATGTGAACAAGGTTTCCGGAGCAGCTGACAAACGCCTCTGGCCTGGGTGGTGTTTCCCTTAGAACTCATTAACACATTCATCTCATTTGTGTGACTTCTGAATCTGTTCCATTGTATAATAAGAGATTTAAAAATATACCTCTCCAGGCTGGAATATTGGACTAAAACTCGCAGTAGGAGGCATCATAGCTATAGTTGCCAAATTCTGCTTTTAAGTTAAATAATAATTGTTCACAGGAAGGAAGAGGCCTGATGTAAAGTAGATTATATTTTTTAAAATATCCTGAAGGTTTTACCTGCCCACAAAAGAGCGCATCTGCCAGTGTGGTCCTCACACTGCAGTGCAGAGGCCCTGGGATCTGTTCTGGACCTTGACGGAGGACCCGAGGGAGGACTGCACGAGGGAACCTGGGGGTGGAGGAGGGGTGGCCTCCGCAGCTCCCGTCCTGTCCATCAGGAAGGGGCAGACTCTCTGGAAGCGGGTCCAGGGTCACAGTGTCCCCACCAGGAGGACACAGTGGTCAGCCTCCTGTGAAAGGGGCCACCATGCCTCACCACCTTTGGGCTCATGGGAGAGGTAGGAGGGCGGCTGGAGGTTCTTCCCCTTCTCTAAGGTTGAGCCCTTGAGAAAGAAACTAAAAACGTTGGGCCACGAGGCATCTAGGAAAGAACTCTTTCAACTTTAGAATTTAGCCAGGAGGGCAGCCGAAGTCCAGGCAGGGCAAGGAATTTAAGGGATGTCGTGCCATAAATTCAAGATAGCTGTCCTCGGTGCCCACCCGTGAAACCCCTGACCGGCCTCCGGCCCCGCGGGGTGTGTGGACACCTGCTGGCCTCCAGGGTAACTGCAGGTCTCATCTGTTGCCGACTTCTCCCTCATCTGCTATCGCGGCCTCCCTCACCGACCTGGACTTGGGATCCACCCTTGACCCTGGCCTCTGACCCTTCACCTCTGGGGCCGCTTCCCCAAATCTGTACACTGATCCTTCTGGACCTTGTACCTTTCTAGTTGACTTTAGCTTGGCTTGTCCCCCAGGGCAGCAGTGGAATCCTCTCTCCTTGCGTCAGGAATCAAGGTGAGGGACGGGATTCAAGGCTATAAAAACCCAGCAGTGCAGAACCTCTCTCGTGCCCATCCCTGAATGCCTGGGCTCGGTCTAGGCGCTTTTCAGAAGGCGTCTTCATTTGCATTTAGTGAGACTTCTTGATGGCAGGCACTCTAACTCAGCATTCCCTTCCAAACCAAGGGCGTTTCTTTCATTTATTAGGAAATATGATCAGTATTTCTAGACTGCGAGCTCCATATCCTGTTTCCTGATAACCTGACTGCTGACATTCAGTTCACCTGAAGTTCTTCCTGGTCAGCTGTGCCTTGGGAAAAGTAATGCGCTTTTTATTTTTTGGTGACATTAGCAGATGTATGGAATGTAGAATGGGGGAGGTGAAGTTCTATTTATGAGTCTATCTGGAGCAGTAGGTTCGACGCTGGGAGTTAAATTGAAAACGTGACAGGTGAGGAGCAAAAAAAGAGGGGCTAGGAATCAAAGGCCCGTGTCATGTGAAATCGGGCTGTTTA